ATAATTTCTTTCTCTCAATTGCGTTTCTCTCTTCTTGCACCGAAGGATTCTAACAAACTTCCTTGCATGTGGATTAGCCTCCCTACCTTTGCGTGGACTTCTCAGGAGTGATTCAATTTTGAATCGACTAGCTAAAAGTAAATAAAATAAACCGGAAGGAGCCTCCAAATGTAGGTAATAACAAAAAACCTTGTATGGGTTGTTTTATTTTATAAGCAGATTGTATATATCAATCTTGATTGTGGGATTAACGGGTTAATTGAATAAAAAAAAATTGTTTTATATTCTACATATTATTCAACCATAACCCCACAGAAGGGACATAAAAAAACTTTATTCTAAAATAAGAGATCAACTAAAAAAGAATTTGAAAATTTTACGAATACATCTATTGTATTTAATTACGATATCTAAGCTGCTAGATCAAAAACAGATCTTTTTTAGTGTCACAATAATTACCTATATTATAGTTGGTGTTTACAACAAAAATTGATAGGTTTTAAACCATTATATACTAAACATAGTGCTGAGACTATTTATTTTACAATTATTGAAGTTTTGCAGGATTATGTATTAACTAAGAGAGTTGTGGCACTAACGCTTGATAATACAGCTACTAACAGCTATTTAAAAAGAGATTCCATCCGTTTGGTGAAGGCAATTTTTTTCACTAGAGATGTGCTTGCCACGTCATCATGAATTTGATTGTTAAAGCAAATTTAGAAGTTATACATGTGAGGATTAAAAGGGTGTGCATGGCTATCTGATTCATCGCCGGTAGCAATACAAGATGGAATGATTACATAAAATATTGTTGCCAAGAGGAGTCGCCGGTTCGACCAAGGAAGTTATGTACGGACATGTCTATCCGTTTGAACTCCACGTACTTGATGTTGCAAAGAGCTATGCTAACCGCAACACAAATTACAGAGTTTGTGAACAAAAGAACTATCCGGACAAAGTCGTCAACAATGATGATTGGACGGTTTGCTATGTTTTTCATTCATTTCTTAAAGTTTTTTACAATTTCACTAATACATTAAGTGGTATTTATCATCCTTCTACTAATTTAGCGTTAGATATTTTACTTCAAATTTTTGAAACTTTTGATAAAAATAGATATAATCCAAACTTAATGCATATTGTTTCAGACATGGAAACAAAATGCCGAAAATATTGGTTAGATATTCCATTCTTATATGGATTGTGCCTTATTGTAGATCCTAGGTTTAAATTAAATGTATTTGATTGTATGGTTACTAAGATAGGCCAGCATTTAGGACATGATTATAGTTCTTATTTGATAGACTTTAACATAAAATTAGAAAGCCTTTTTTCTTTATATCAGTCTAGGTACAGTGGAACACCCAGTAGAGACGATCAGCAAGACCCTAATGAAGACATTTATCAACAAGGATCAAGCATGTGGACATATATGACAATTAGTAGCGATGGTGGTGGAAGTAGCTGTTAGGAAACGGTCCATATACGCAGCGGAAAACAAAATCTTAATAACAAGCATCGTTCCCATTAAGCCAAGATCAAAGGTACAATTTTATAATTTGTGTTAAAATAGAAATCTGCAGAAATTAATCATGAGTTTAGAAAAACATACGCACGTTTGGAGGCTCTTCCAAATTTGTCAATGACCGTTTTGCTACCGACCCAAGTGTAGGATCGAACCCACGTAGTCCACACGAAGACAATCACAAAGAACTAAGGAGAGATTTGCTAGATCCTCCTTAGCTTTAAGATCAAGAAGAAAAATCAATGAAATTGATTTTGGGCAAAAAAATGAATTCTGCCGTGGGAGAGTGTTTAAGGGGCTATTGTGTTTGTGTTTTTCAAAGAAAAATTGAACTAATGAAAATCTCTCTCCTTTTACAAATAACATTTTTCTTTTATAGTAAAACTTTAATGCCCTATTCCCATATGGAATAGACTTGGGCTCCAGCCCAAACACCCCATGTTACCAAACACTCCTAATTAGATATTTTATTTTTATTTCATCATTATCTCAATTAAAATCAATTAATATATATTTAATCTATATATTAACATTTAACAATAATGATGATTTAATTAAATATATGCGAACACATATTTAAACGTAATTTCACTTATTTAATTTTTCTAATAAATTAAATAAAGGCTACGACCTCAGCAAATTTAATTGCACTGTGAAATTACCAAAATACCCTTTCGCCTAAAAAGACGAAAACGCCCTTCTTTCTTCCTATGTCTTAAATTATCTTCTATGTGTGTGACCCATAGGCTCCTCATCATACCGGCAGTGTATAGTATCGCAATTAACACTAATTAATCGTCTCACTAATACACAGACCAAGATTTGGCCCCTAGCAAGGCATCATGGCCACCCGATAGATTCGGATTCAGCAAAGTAGCTATCTGTCAACAATATGGTTACCGTACAATTCGATCCTTCCATCATACGTTATCTCGACGAGACGAAGGCATAGAAATAGTGTCAACCTTCGGTCAATCTCGATATTATGTATTCAGCTTCTGGACCAATGACCTATATTATAATCCGGATAGAGCAACAACTCAATCCCACTGTGGCCACAGTTTTAGTGTCATTGCCATATACTGAATTGCGCCGTGAGATAACTTTCTCCAGTACCCGGGAGTGATGAATCCTCTGTCAATTCACCATAGTCTTGATACACTCCTTGATGCAGCCAATCACCACCGTATTGACAGCTCTGAATAGAACTACATTAGACTAGTGTCAAACTGCACCAATCGGTGCATAAGGTGCTTCGGTGATCTCAAGTCTAAGGATCACATGTACCACCATTCGTTAGAGAATTTATTCCATAGACACTAGGGTTACCATCCATATGGAATCCTTTGGTGGATCAGTTCAGTGAACTTGCTGCGGTGTATCCGCCTACAGCAAACACCCATGTGTTGCACTAGGTTGTCACCAAACAACCTTGACAAGTGAGATCAGTCATTGCCTTTCGACAGGGTTGTTCAATACTATGATAGCCTTACCGTATTATCTGTGCACTTACTTCAAAATAATACTAGGGCTACGGACGTTTCTAGAATGGCCACTATATGTGCTCATAGGGTTCTCACTATCAAGATTTAAAACACTTGATGAGTAATGCTACAGCCACCAACGGTTGTGCACCGAATCTATGCACCGAATGACGTGGCAAAATCCTGACCATTTATTATTATCAGTTAATATCAATCAATGGTCAAGATTTTGTCACATCATTCGGTGCACAGATTCGGTGCGCAACCTTCGGTGACTCTATCATTTTCCAACACTTGATACCCTCGTCACGGTTCTACCATTCTAAGGACATATATCAATACATATTGCAATAATAATGATTTACGCGATATATAATAAAATGCCTTTTATTATTGATTAATGAACATTATTACAAAGAGTCAATTCTACAATAATTGATTGGCTTTAGGGCACCTATTCCAATAATAGCAGCTCTAGCTTATACAGACATTGACCAAATGAACTATAACGATACCTACAAATGGACATGTCCTACATGACCAAAAAGGAGAAACGCGAGATGGATCTACTTCAATGATGGAACCAAAATGCAAGTCGATTCCCCATTGTAACCCAAATGGCATGCGACATTTTGTCTATGCCAATTTCGACAATTGTATCAAAGTCAACATTCTCAATTAGTGGTCACATTGTTGAGGACAGAAGATGCTCTTTAACCAATGAGATGGTTGAAGTCATAACATGTTTATGGGATTGGACCCATGTAGACAGAAGACTATAATAGCACCTTGAAGATCCCGAACTACTCGACCTCGTCAAAAATACAACTTTGGACAATGTAAATTTTGACATTGTAAAACAAATTTATTTAATTGTTTATTTGTGAACTATGAATATTATATTTATATTAAAATTAAATTATCTCTTTAAATTAAAACCATATAAATTTATAACCAATTAAACATTCATTTATATTTATTTACTAATTAATTAAAAAATTTACAAATCACCCCCTAAAAAATAACATAAACCCCCTACATAATTTTCGATTTAGCCCCTAATATGTATAAATTAGGAGGGCAAAATGTAATTTTCTAGGCCCATAGGACTGGTCTCGATCCAGGCCCTAAGAATTTTCATGGGCCTGGGACCGGTCCTAGCCAAGTTGGGACCATTCCCGGGCTTGGCTGGGACTAGGACTGGGCCTTGCCCACCTCTAACGCTAACAGCCCAATTTCATAATCTTCTCTTATAATCTGTATTAGAGTTGACAATTGTTATGTTAGCTCCCATAACACCAAGACACCAAATAGTAAATAACTTTAACTAAACACGAACGATCATTTCTTAGGGACGATCGACTGTTCTTTCATAAGGAATGATTGTTTCTTGTGAAAAATCAGTTGTTCATTCATAAAGAATGATTGTTCCTTATGAAAGAACAACCATTTCTTATGAATGAACAACTATTTCTTATGAATGAAAAACTATTCCTTATGAATGGAACAATAATTTCTTATGAATGAAAAACTATTCCTTATGAATGGAACAATAATTTCTTATGAATGAACAAATATTTTTTATGAATGGAACAATAATTTCTTATGAATGAAAAATCATTCTTTCCTAAAAAGCAATCGTTCGTCTCTAAGGAACGACAATTCGTATTTAGTCAAAGTCGTCAGTTAATATGACAGTGCCAATTTTATTATCACGTTAGGATTATAAGAGAAGATTGTAAGATTCAGTTGTAAACGTAATATTTTTGTTAAATTTCCTATATGAATTAGCGTTTTCTTTTTTTCCTTCTTGAGCAATTTCATTTAAGGGTAAAATCGTAATGCAAATAATTTTTTAACAACGGAGGGTCGGTGTGGAAATTGACATCACTCTAAACAAATATCCAACTAAAAATACAAATTCTCGAAATTACCCTCATACAATATAGTAGAAATTTCAATTAGCGTTCAGCTCACCTTTCTCTTATTCCCGTTTTAAAATTTCAATCACTGCAAGAAGTATCGCCACATTCTCGACGACACTCTCCCGACGATCGACGCGGTTCCGGCCGCCGACTACCTGACAAAGGTACCGAAACTCTTCTCTTTTTAGTTTCTTTCTAATTCATTTAAAGAATTTTGTACTGATTGAGATTCAGAATCTACATAATTAGCGTGCCTCTTACTTTTTTCAATCGTCCCCACTCGTAAATCCGACTCGTCGTTTTGTTGTTTGATAATTGATTATTCACTCTGTCTCGTAGCTCTTCCTTTGAAACAGATATCGAAAAATCTGTCTGTGCCGCTGAAATTTTTTTACTCCTTAAAACCTAAATCAACCCCAAAATTAGGTATCTTCTTGTAAATTTTTTTTTTTTTTTTTTTAATTTGGGGTTTTAACAATGGATATTTAATGACATATTTGTTTATCCGTGTGCTCATTATCAAGATTGCGAGTGTTTTTAATCACGATTAGCTCGTTGTTAAGAAACCCAGAAGTGTATTTTCGAAACAACGAGTTAAAGACTAAGTGTTCGATGCATATTTTTGTGGATTTGTGAACAAGAGAGAAATAGATGGTGCACTTTGATTTATATCCGATATTCACCTCCTCCTAGAGTTATTTGATTGAAATTATGATGTTTTTGAGCTGAGAATTGGTGATATGAGTGTGTGGTTCTGTGCTTGTTCTTTTGATTGAATGAATATATTCTCCGTTTTACTATTAACTGTTTAAAAAGTTGATTAATGCTTATTCTTATGCAGGGTTGGATACAATTGATCAGCACTTAGGGTCGCGCGTGGATCATGGCAGACTTAGAGAACTTGCTTCTGGAGGCAGCTGGAAGAACAAATAATTCTGGAAGGAACCGTCATTCTGCTCCTCCCTCCAGAAGGCGGCGTGAGGGTTCATATTCTGGAAGTGACTCTAGGGATGATGATTCAGATGATGATCGTGGGTATGCTAGCAGAAAGCCCTCTGGATCTCAAGTTCCTTTGAAGAAGAGGCTGGAAGCTGCTGAAAGAGATGAAGATCAGGGTAGCCAGGAAGAAGGCGATTTTGATGATGGTGGTTCAGGTCGTGAAGGTGACAGCAGCAATGAATCTGATGATGATAACCATGCACAGATGACTGAACTTGAAAGAGAGATGATGATATTTGAAAGAGATGATAAGAAAGTTGATAAGAATTTAAGGGATAAGTTTAGATCAAGGCGGGAAGAGAGGTCCACCCGATCAAGAAAAGAGACCCCTCCCCTTCCATCATCTCGAGGTGTGCGCCTTTCAACTAGATCTGCTGATCGGGCAGCTGCAAAGGATGATGCATTGAATGAGCTGAGAGCAAAACGGTTGAAGCAGCAGGACCCAGAGGCTCACCGGAGGTTGAGGGATGCATCTCGAGGCAGTTCAGGAAACAGGGGTTTATCACCAATCAAGCGAAAAACATTTACTCCTGCAAGTCTGAGTAGCTCCAGCCAGAGTGAGGGTGAAAGTAGGTCTCACAGTGAAGATGAAGGATCTACAGGGGATGGTGGAATGGCTGACAGTGATGACGAAAGGGGCATGACTGGTTCAGGGGGACCAACTTTTGAAGACATAAAGGAAATCACTATCAAGAGGTCAAAACTTGCAAAGTGGTTCATGGAACCGTTCTTCGAGGAGTTGATAGTGGGTTGCTTTGTTAGGGTTGGGATTGGCAGGTCTAAGAGTGGGCCTATTTATAGGCTCTGCATGGTCCGAAATGTCGATGCTACAGAGCCTGACCGGTTATACAAGCTAGAGAGCAAGACAACATACAAGTATCTCAATGTCACCTGGGGCGATGAAAGGTCTGCTGCCCGGTGGCAGATGGCTATGGTTTCAGACTCTGCTCCACTTGAGGAAGAGTTTAAACAGTGGGTTAGAGAGGTGGAGAGAAGTGGTGGCCGAATGCCAAGCAAACAGGATGTGTTGGAAAAAAAGGAGGCTATACAAAAAACTAATACGTTTGTCTATTCAGCAGCCACTGTAAAGCAGATGTTGCAAGAGAAAAAATCTGCCTCATCACGGCCATTAAACATTGCTGCTGAGAAGGACCGACTTAGGAGGGAGTTGGAAGTTGCTCAAAGTAGGCATGATGAAGTAGAAGTGGAGAGGATCAAGAAAAGATTGCAGCAACTGGAGGCATCGCGGGAATCAAAGGTAAAAGATGCTAAAGCTATTAGGCTTGCTGAGATGAATAGGAAAAACAGAGTTGAGAACTTCAAAAATGCATCTGGACTGAAGCCCTTAAATACAAGTTTGAAAGCAGGAGAGGCAGGGTATGATCCATTTTCAAGAAGGTGGACAAGGTCAAGAAATTACTATGTTTCTAAGCCGGATGAAGGAGACACAGCTGCAGTGACAAATGGTGACAGTAATGATCCATCAGCAGCTGCAGTAATTAATGGGGAAGGGGCAGGGGCTGGCATGGCAGCTACAGCAGCAGCCTTGGAAGCTGCAGCTGGTGCGGGGAAGTTGGTTGATACTAGTGCTCCTGTTGATCAAGGAACGGAGTCAAATGTGCTGCATGATTTTGAGCTTGATATCTCTTTGAATACGCTTAAAAAATTTGGTGGGCCTCAGGGAGCTCTGGCTGGATTCATGTCAAGGAAGCAAAGGATAGAAGCAACAGTTGGATGTCGTGTGCCAGAGAATGATGGAAGGAGACACGCTTTGACCTTGACAGTAAGTGATTACAAGAGAAGAAGAGGGCTTCTCTGAAATTTGATGTTTCAGTAAGCAGTATCTGGTTCAAGTAAAAGTTGTTTGGTTCATTCTGTGAGTGTAATTGAAGGATTATGTAGCAAGGAAGCTTTCATTTGGGGGGATTTCACAATTTCTGAATTCAATTTATTGTCTTGTTCTTTTTTCGGTCTGAAGATACTATTGGGTCCTTAAAACTCGATTCTCTGAAGTATCATTCTTAATGTATGTAACTTTGGACGCCCATGGGCATGGTGGTGTTATGAGATAAGTCATGTACTCAACTCTTCATTTTCAGCAGAAAGAGGAAAGTTAAAAAACCAGCTCTTCTGGGTTCATTGTATAAAATGTGCACACTAGTTTTGAATCTCCTTTTGACAAAAGCTATACAGTTGGGATATGATTTGCTGGTTTTTATTAATCAAACCCCAGTTGTGGAAGAATAAATTAATAATTTTCAAAAGTAATTTTTTTTGAATTAAAACCATTGTTGAGAAAATTGAACTTTATAAAAGTATAGATGTTAAAATCTTGAGTCTAATTAAGTAGAAACTATCCAAAGTGGATTTAGGTCCATGGGTTTGTTTTTGGGCTTTAGGTCATCCAAAAGGCGTTGTAAATTGCATCTGGTGAGTGAAAAGGTAGCAATATTGACGTCATGTCCTCCTGAGATTATTGCATCGAGTAGAGGGCGTCTACTTAATTGAAAGGATTGAAATCCAGTGATATGAACCTTGCGTCATTGTGAGATCTGAATTGTTTGTTTGAACGCAAACCCGTATCCAAAATATTTGTAGTTAGTTAAGTGGATCGAAATAATCTTATCAAATAATATATACATAGACTTTAAAAGATTGGAGGATAGACACAATGATGTTTACGTCTATTGTAGCACTGACCACATACTCTCCAACTTTCCTGAAGGACCGCAACTACCATTAATACGGAATTCAGTGGAACTCTTTTCTCTTGCTTCCACGTGTACGGCCATGATAAAAAGAATGGACATTACTTTCACTAGTTTTTTTATTTCGGTGAAGCCTTCCATTTTGATGCATGGCTAGGCTTCTTTTTTTTAATAAATTAAAATTATTAACTTGGGCACTGAACCTCGTTTGGTATTCTAAAAAAATGCATTATTTTATTATATTTAATTGACGGTGGACATGTATGATTGCTTGTTGATTTAAGCATTATCTTTTCTACTTAAAAAAAAATGGATTATTAAATTAAATATTAATTGACATGAAACAACCCGAGTGAGATTATATATCAAATATTGCATCTAAGCTGCATATTATTCCTTGAATCAATAAGATATCCTATTTTTTACATGCATCAAATTTAATACTTTAATGCAACAAAATCATTCCAAATCACCTATTCAGTTTAATCGCCATTATTCTGAGATCATAAGAAAAGTTTATATAAAGCATATGAGACTCGTTGGTTTTGAAAATCAAAGAGCAATACCATAAAGTTAGCTACCTACTACTAATTCTTATGAAACAAAAAAAATAAAAAAATAACTCACATGTTAAATTAAGAGTAAACGACATATTTGCACATGAGGTTTGACGAAATCTTAACTTGATACTTTTAATTGTATTTATTTTAGATTCTCATACTTAAAATAATACTGTTAGTTATTGTTGGAGGTAATAAAAAATTGGTGAGTGCGATCGACAAGTGAAGGTATGAGTTTTGTGGAGAAGGTTGTGGAGAGTTTAACAGTAGTCTCAGAAGTGATTTTAAACTTCAAAATCGGCCCAAAAAAATCAAAAACTGTCGACTTAGATGTTACTAATGTGAACCGCTTTTTGCTAAAATTAGTATGTCTTCTGCCAAAGAAAACGTTGGCGCACTTTAGTATGCTAACGTGTATCGCGTTATAATAAAAAGTTAAAAATATGTTAAAATAAAAAAAATGATATTAATTTAAGGGTGAGAATATAAAATAAATACAAATAAGGGTATTAAATAGTGATTTCGCTAAACCTTAGTGGGAATATACCGTTTGCTCGTTAAATTAATTTCAAAGTCAATGCCCATCNTATCAAATAATATATACATAGACTTTAAAAGATTGGAGGATAGACACAATGATGTTTACGTCAATTGTAGCAGCGACCACATACTCTCCAACTTTCCTGAAGGACCGCAACTGGAACCCGATACCATTAATACGGAGTTGGCAACACAAAATGAATTCAGTGGAACTCTTTTCTCTTGCTTCCACGTGTACGGCCATGATAAAAAGAATGGACATTACTTTCACTAGTTTTTTTATTTTTTTTTATTTCGGCTTCATCGGCTTCCATTTTGATGCATGGCTAGGCTTCTTTTTTTTAATAAATTAAAATTATTAACTTGGGCAATGAACCTCATTTGGTATTCTAAAAAAATGCATTACTTTATTATATTTAATTGACGGTGGATACGTAAGATTACTTGTTGATTTAAGCATTATCTTATCTACTTAAAAAAAAATGGATTATTAAATTAAATATTAATTGACATGAAACAACCCGAGTGAGATAATATATCAAATATTGCATCTAAGTTACATGTTATTCCTTGAATCAATAAGATATCCTATTTTTTACATGCATCAAATTTAATACTTTAAAGTTTAATGCAACAAAATCATTCCAAATCACCTATTCAGTTTAATCGCCATTATTCTGAGATCATAAGAAAAGTTTATATAAAGCATATGAGACTCGTTGGTTTTGAAAATCAAAGAGCAATACCATAAAGTTAGCTACCTACTACTAATTCTTATGAAACAAAAAAAAAAATAAAAAAATAACTCACATGTTAAATTAAGAGTAAACGACATATTCGCACCTGAGATTTAACGAAATCTTAACTTGATACTTTTAATTGTATTTATTTTAGATTCTCATACTTAAAATAACACTGTTAATTATTGTTGGAGGTAATGAAAAATGGTGAGTGAGATCGACAAGTGAATGTATGAGTTTTGTAGAGGAGGTTGCGAAGAGTCTAACAGTGATCTCAGAAGTGATTTTAAACTTCGAAATCGACCGAAAAAAGCCAAAAACTGTCGACTTATATGTTACTAATGTGAGCCCTTTTTTGCTAAAATTAATATGTCTTTTGTCAAAGAAAACGTTGGCGCACTTTTGTATGCTAACGTGTGTCGTGTTATAATAAAAAGTTGAAAATATGTTAAAACAAAAAAAAATGATATTAATTTAAGGGTGATAATATGAAATAAATACAAATAAGGGTATTAACTTGTGATTTTGTTAAACCTTAGTGGGGACATACCGTTTGCTCGTTAAATTAATTTCAAAGTCAATGCCCATCTTCCTCTTTATTTATTAATACTGTATTTTGCTATTAATTGTATAATCATAATTCATAAAAATTTTATTATACAAACTAAAATCGCATCCTTTTGATTTGAAGATTTGTACAATTAATTAGCGTCAAACACCCATTGTTAATCTGCACATTACAAATTTCAAAATGTTTTCTTAACAATGTCGGATAAATATTCAATCCTGTACCTAATTATCTAAAAAGTATATCTTTTATTTCAAGAGTAGACGACTTTTTCCCACCCAGGGTGTACCTTAATGACACTTTACCACTAAAAAAGTTTCAAAATACCACTTTTCCACTCAGAGTTTATATTTCGTTACTACTCAAAACCGATTCTATTTGATTCTAGCAGCAAATATTCTCTCTGTTACCACCATTTGAACATTTGGTATCATCTCTACAAAACTCATCTCACCAGGACTGTCTCAAGAACATTTGTGACCCTAGACAAAAATTACTTTGGGGGGTTTTAGAGAGCAGATGCTGGAGAAATGATGGGTGGTGAAATTGGTGATTTCTAATGCTAGGATTGACAGGAAAAGACTTGAGAAGTCGCGGCCCAAAAGGTATTGGTGGCTGACGATTGGTGGAGTAAACGGATGAGGTAAATAAGGGTTTTAGTGAGAAGGCTGAGGGGAGGAAGATGGTGGTATTGGGGAAGGCCAATGATGCTAGGTACATGCCAAAAAGGTCGGAAATGGTTGTCGCACACGGTGGAACTAGGATGTGAGATTCATAACAAAATCGGCCAAATCGAGGGCTATAAAGGCTGGGAAAACACTTGGAAAATGATAAAGTGATTGTTCCGATCGATTTTGGTGAGAAAATTGACCGAAATTAGCTCCAAACGGCCGACGACGGAAGAGGGGTGGAGATGATTTATGTGAATGTCGAATTGTGGGATTGAATTGAGGGTGAGTAATTTGAGACATGTAAATGACCATGTTAGCCTTTCATTGTTAAAAGAAATTCAATATGTTAATTTAGGGGTGTAAATTAGAATATATGAAACTAGAGGTACAAACGTGCTATTTCGTCAAACTTTGGGTGAGAATATAAGTAAAAAGTTTATAATAAATTTGGGCCTTTTGGTTTTTTTTGGGGCCCTTTGGATTGGCTTAGATAAGAAATTATACATTATTTTTATTTTTGTAATATATTTAAACAAATTTATAAAAAATTTGGCCCTATTTTTTGGGGCCCTAGGCAGGTAAGGTACCCTTTGAGTCGGCCCTACCTTTCGTTCCCACACTTAATTTCTTGCCGATTGTCAGCCATCACAAAGCTAGATTTTCCTGTTCATAGCTGATTTCCGGTGGAAAATATTTAATTAATCACCACCATTTGATCCACTGGCCTCCACTCTACAAAACCCCTCTTACTGTGGCTCCTGATAACTCGTCGAACGCTGGCTAAGAAAGTGAAGTGTATTTTGAGTAGTAATGGAATATAAACTTTAGCTAGGAAAGCAGTATTTTGAAATTTTTTGCATGGTAAAGTGTCATTAAGGCAAACCTTGGGTGGGAAAAAGTGGTTTACTCTTAGGGTGCGTTTGGTTCAAGGAATGCTATATTACTAAGGAATGCTGTATTATTGGAAAGATAGATTACTAGGGAATCTTTAGAGAAATGTGTTTGATCGGTTGGAATAAATTGATGAATATGTTATAATAATATGTTTGGTTGGGAGGATAAATGAGTGAGTATGTTATGTAGATTACTAAATTGCCCTCCTTTTTAAATAATAATATAATATTATTTTTATTATTATTTTATTATATTATTTTTAAATCATTTTTTTAAACCCCCTATATTTGAAATTTTACTAAGACACCCCAATCATATACAACTTTAATTTATAGCAAAATCACCCCCACTCACCCTAAGCCACTGTCGGTAGCCGCCATAATAGCATACG